TTGTGATTTCCAGGTTAGAGATGATGCTGCTTTCATATACATTGATGCTGCTGATGAAAACAAGTCCAACTGGATGAGGTTTCATTCTTTAAATTGCTTTTCGTCACAGTAGTTGTCATTTATATGATTAAAACTGAATTTCTGTCATCCATCTATCGGTCAGCCCCTCTTTTTGTTTTATGTTCTAGGTATATCAGGTATACAAGCAGGGAGGAAGAACACAACATGTACATCTTCCAGTTTTACCGTCACATCTACTACAGGGTTTCCAAACCCATTCCAGAAGGAACAGAGCTTAGGGTCTGGATTGGGAAGGACTACGCCTCCATGCTGGGCCTGGGAATAGGTGAGTGCAGCATCAGGTGACGGTTGTGTGATCATCATGTCAAAAGATTTGTTGTTTTGTTGCTTCAAATTAAAATGCCATTGTGCTGTGATTAAAAATAATGCAATGATGTTTTTTTTAATTTTGCCTGCACATTATTACAAATAATAATAAATGTCAGTATTATTCTTATATTATTATTCTAACAACAAATGACAATGGGTGGTTACAGTTGGTTAAGTGGGTTTAAATCCATTAAATTTGAATGAATTTAATGAATTTAAATGACAAGTATATTTGCTAAAATTTGAATGGAATTAGAATGAAAATAAGCCAGAGACATTGAGCAATTGAAAGTCGATCCTGTCACGACTTGGCACAGTAGAGGTGATAAATACAAGCGAAACACCATTTGTAAGCAGTATAACAACGTTTATTCAGTAATTAAACCATAAGTCTTTCCTTAACTTAAAAACACTCTGAGCAGCCAAAAAATGGGGGGTGTTATTTAGAAAGAGAACAGCTAAACACAGCCTAAATAGTTATATATTGTCATGTCTTTGCTTAAGCTAGCTAATAGAAAATGGAAAACAAAGCATTGTTACTGAATTTTACAAAAGTTCCGTATACTTGTTTTCTTTGGTTTAATATAGGAGATGGTATGAAATGTGAAGTTGGAGACAAGGAGACAGCACTGCGCCTCCTGCAGGACATCCAGTTGGTCACACTCCCAGAGTCCAGCAGCACTTCCCTTTGGTCAGATCACAGCCAATCACAGAGCCCCATGCCTCTGATCAGTGATGTGACATCAAACTCTGACATGGTTAATGAACAAGTTGGGATTTCCCTTCCCTCCACTCTCAGTGTCTCCACTCCTTTTGTCTCTGTCCCATCTCCTTTCGGTCAATTCATGGACAGGTACGACTTCATGCCTGGAACTGAAAAACTCTTGAGAAACCCCAGGGCCTCAGAACACAGCTCCTGGTACTTTTTTGGATTTGAGGCAGACCCCACCGGTCGACCTCTGGATCGCAGCACTGCAGTCTGTAAGCTGTGCATAGAACATGTGGGCTGTGCTGGAGGAGAAGCAGATCTCAAAAACCATCTGATGAACAAACACCACATCAGACTCCGTGAGATCACCAAGGACAGAGGTTCTGGAGGTAATGACTGCTGGTCGTCTGTATCTTGTACTTCTGTCTGTATTTTCAGCTGAATGAAGGTTTTAGTCACTTTTAAAACAAAAGACTCAAGAGGATGTCCTGTCATTCAAATGTTTTTTGTGCTTTACACAGGTGCACAGCAGGCCCAGCCCATGATGCTCAGCAGTGGCCTGGTCAGCACTACCCCCCAGGTTTTATCTGCACAAGTGATTGAAGCCGTGGCCAACTTTCTCATTTTGGACCTCCAGCCCCCAGCTGTTGTAGAGGGACAAGGTTTCAGACACTTGATACACACCCTTCTACCCTCCAACAAGGAGCTGCCATCACCAAGCCAGCTGGAGAACCTTCTGAAGGAACACCACACAAAAGGCAAGGCCTGCCTTGCTCATCAGCTGAGGATAATAAGTGGCACACAAGAGGTTGTGCCAGACTACACTGCGCCCATTGAGCCCAGGAGACGTGGGCAGCATCCCATTGATCGCAGAGAAATTCCCAATAATGTGACCTTAAGTGTGGACATTTGGTCGCACAACTGGCATGGAACCAGTGAGCCATACCTCACCCTGTGGGCACACTGCATAGACCTGAATTATAATTCCAAGAACGTGGCATTGACCTCTCAAAGACTGATGGGAAGGGCTGTGAAAGATTACACCATTCAAACAATAGTTGCTCAGGTGAAAGCTATGGCACAGGAATGGGGAATCTCCCAGTCCAATTTGGTCCTGATTGGAGGGGAAGGAAGAAAAAAGATGATGCAGGGACGTGTCAAAAGAGAGAGGGTCAGAAAAGCTTGTGGAAGTGTCCCTCACCCAAACTCCACAACGTTCCTGGAGAGAGATGATTCTGCGTCGCAGGAATGCATTGAAGAAGTGATGTCACATCCTGTTATCTCAAAGACTTTGGGCCAATTTCATGATATTCTTTCACCTGTTTTCTTGGCGCCTTCTCAGGACAGAAGCTCGTGTCATGTCCATAGTTTATTGCAAACTTTCACCAGACAGGAATGGGCTGAGCTGACGTCCTGGACTCACAGTCGGCCCACGTGGGATAAACTCTACCCACTGCTTAGCATTCTGATCAAACACAAAAGTCCCTTTTGTGAACTAATTAAAGAAGTCACAGGGGAGGGCTCAGGAAACGCTGAAGCACCTTCAGAGAACAGTTCTTCCAGTAACTGCCCCACAAACTCAACCTCCAACTGCTCTTCTGCAAATTCCACCATGCGTTCTGACTGGAAAGTTGTAGAGGATCTGTGTTTGGTCCTTAGACCTTTGGACGTTGCATGTCGAACCCTTGCCAAAGAGGGTTTCCCTAGGCTGTCCCTCGTCAAACCAATTCTAATTGGACTACTCTCTCGCCATCTGGTGTCTCGGCAGGGTGATTCATCCTCCTCCATTCTAAGAGAGGTGAAGAGGATGATGAGGAAGAGCTTGGCCAGCTGTTATGACAACCCTGTTGTTAATATGGTACTGTGTGTGGCCTGCTCCCTTGACCCACAGTTCCGTGGATTAGGGTTTATGAATGAGAAGGTGAGACTCAATATTGGAACATGAAAAAGAAGATTAGAAAAGTAGTCTGTTGTGTGGTCTTAAATCTGAGTCTTAATGTTTTCTTCAAGATTAACCTTTAGAGCAGCAGTTCTTTACCTTTTCATTCATAGATTACTACAAACTCACAGTACAATTACCGCTATTATAGTCAACATTTGAGGACTTTTTTTTGGCTCCGAATCTTGTCATCTGGTCTACTGTGTGCTGGATACACTGTCCGCAACAGCACTGTTGTAGCTAATGTTAAATTAAAACCTGGTGTTTTAATGTGTACTTTTCTTTCCAGGAGCAGATAACAACTCTTGATTGGTTAAAGAAAGTGGCTGTAAGGCTCGTAAAGGGGGAAAGAAGGAGGACCCAAACTAAAAGAAGTCTTTCCCCAGAGTCCCCAGAGTCAGAGGGTGACATCCTGCGAAGGAGCAAACGCCTCAAAGACAACCATCGAATGAGTTTCCAAGAGAGGGAAGGAGATGAAGATAAAGAGAGCGATGCATTCGAAACAGATGACAATGATTCAGTAGACTGCAGCTCACAGGCTGGACAATCTGGTATGGAGTTCCTACTTGGTGACTTGTTCTGCTCAGCTCCTCAGAGCAAACAGAGCTCTGTAGAAGAATCCGTAGACATGGAGATGTCTATTTTTCGGGCAGACAAAGGGGCATCACTGGGGGTGGAGCCTCTGCAGTGGTGGAGAACAACAGGTGGGCAGTTTCCACTCTTGTCCACAGTGGCGAGGGCATACTTGGCTGTTCCAGCTGTGGCGGGCAGTGCCGCAAAAGACTTTGCACAAGAGGGACCATGTACATTGTACAGGAAGAGGGCGAACATTCCTCCTGAGACTTTGGACGCAGTCCTTTTCCTGCACCACAACCACATGCCAGATACTGAGCCTGGGCTCACAACATTTAGGAGTGAAGACAAGAACAACCCATAAAAAGTCATAGTCAAAGACTCAAAAATGGAATGTCAGAATTTTGACATTTGTTAATCTTCCCTAATTTTAAATGTGAAAGTGAATTATTTGTCATTATGACACAGCACACCACTGCACACAACAAAATGTGACCTCTGATTTTAACCCTTCACCATAGTGAACAGGGGGCAGCTTAAGCACCCAGGGAGCAGTGTGTGGGGACTGTGCCATGCGAAGTGCACCTCAGCGGAAACTTGTCACATGGTGGACTCGAACCTAACATCTTCTGGACCTTAGTCCGCTTTCTTAACCACCAAGCCCTCAAATGTTCCCATAAACCAAAGATTAATCTCAAAGTTAACATGCTAAATAAAGTATCTAGGTTGCTGTATAAAGTATAACTGTGAAAAGTTCTTGTCTATTAAGTTCAACATGTGCACTGGTGTATGTGACGTCTTTAACCAGAACCACGGCTGGTTTTTATTGAACCTAATGGTGTATCACATCCAGTGCCTTACCTTGTTTGACTACTGTCAAATGTTAGATTGAAGATTGCAAAGCTTTTGTCCCTGACACAGTATAAAAAACACTCTACACTAAAAAGTAACCTTGTGTAGATCCCTGTAGGACCCCTAGTGCCCCTGCAGCATGTGGTATTACTGTGTACAGTTTACATATAGTTGTTCTCATAGTTCTCGTTGGAAGCTAGGTAAAGGTTGTATCTTGATTGTTTAGGGAAATACTGTTATTAAATGATAGTATTTTAATGATGTTTGTGTTTTTGTATCTTCACCTAATGGTAAAAGCTAAGGCTGTCTGAACAGCTGCTGGGACTCAACAGCATGATTGAATGAAAGAAGGAAGATTGTGACAAACATAGCACTTGAGTGAGTGAATGAAGTGTCTAGCTAGTTAATTAGTTGGTTAGCAAGTTAAGGAGGTAGAGACAGATGAAGCCCTCCATGTCTGATAGGGATGTAAAACTTTGAAGCATTAAGGTTAATATTAAGATTAGTGGACATTGTTTCATCATAACATTACATCAACACAATACATTTGTCCAAAAGGGTACATTGTGTTAGCCTTAGTTGAACCGTCATTAGCCTATTATTCCTAAAGCAGTGATGAATTTTTAACAAATATTTTGAATCTATTTTATTTAGATTAATTGCAATATTTTACTTTAAATTAAAAACCTTGGCCCACTCTGGTCTCTCTAGGACTGATTATAACGTTAACATTCTACAGATAATATCCAGGTTTTTTTTTATTCACTTTAAAACCAATTTTCATTTTGAGCCATTCATTTTATAAACATGAACTAGTTGCCAATGGTGTTTAAAAACTTTAATTCCAATGAAGTTTGTCCCAGTGGAGTTTCCGTATAAAGTTGTGCATGCGCAAACGAGTCGCCATCGCAAATCGGTTATGGGGAGCCAAGGACCATATAAACATGGATCTCGTTGGCAAGCCCAGGAGCAAATCCAGTGTGTGGCTGTATTTTGGCTTTAAAGGGGACAAAAATGGTCAACCGCTAAACCCGGATGAGGCCATTTGTCGCTTATGCAGAAAAATAGTGCTCGTCAAAAGTGGAAACACTACGAATTTAAGGAGCCATCTTACACGTCGACACCGAGCAGATTTCTTCGAGTCCTCTTCCTCTTCGACCCCGGGATCGCTGTTTGAACAAGCATGTAAGCTAACATGAAAATCCAGACACACCTGGGTGTAATAGCAATTACCGCCATTGTTTTTAATATTATATTAATTTTCTCATAAAGTGACAAGTAAATGCAAGTGGCGTGTCATATGAAGGCAGATAAGTCACCCGCTTCATCTGAATGACATTTTTGTACGACTAACACTGAGACATGATCAGAATTTTTCCCATTTGTACAGTTCTGTAGATAACAATACCGGTGTGTTGTGACACTTATATTTAGTCGCGGTTATGAGGGGTTGTTGCATTTCTTTCTGATGCACCTGGTGTGCAGCAGCTGAGCATTGCAGACTAACAAGTTGCGATGCTCCAACAAAAGCACTTGAAAAACAAGCACAAGTTTTATTTATATCACACTAGCATCGACAATGACAAGTGCCAAGAGCTGAACGACAGGTTTCGTCACATAACTGTGTGCCTACGGCTCCCGTTGCCCTGTCAATGCAGCATTGTTCAGTTCTGTTTACTTCGTTATCAGAGGAAATTAGTGCCCTCGGACAATTGACTTTCACAGCTCAAAAACTGACAGTTCCCCTCTAAAGGACCAGCAGAAACTTTATCATAGCGAAAACGAAAAAAAAAGAGAGAACAGAATGCATTTTAAAGATTGTTACAAATAACTCTTCGCGCCAAGCGTGTGTATAGCGTCACGCTGCGTATGCGTTGTGCGACCAGGTCAAAGTGTTCGAAAGTTTGGGAGCACGTTACCAAATTGAACGCATATTTCGTCGTCTGTAGCACATTTAGAAAGACTGTCTTCCAAAGGCGGCAACACAAACGACCCAAACAAGCAACCTTTCGATCCACTTGCATTATTATTGTGTGTATTTTTGTTTTTGATTTTCTTTGTGATGATTTTGGTGATGATCAATTTCTGATATTTTTTTTTCATTTTACTGCATGCCTTCAACATTCAATATTTATTCAATGTTTGATGAATACTTTTTTGAAAGTGTACTGAAGTGACTTATTTACACATTTATCTTAAAACTTTAAATTTCTAGGTTTGGACCAAGAAGAACTCTTTGACGATGTCCATTTCATGCAGAATGCTTTGAACCAGACCTATGTCCCAGATGCAGTGCTGCCTTCTGGGGAGCCTTGGCTCCAGAACGGCCCCTCTCGTGCACTGCTTTCCTTGCCCTCCTGTCTGCTTCTCTGTCAATACTCCGGTGCTGGAATGCGTGGCTCTGGATCTTCTAGTGAGGATCATACAGGAGATATGAAAGTCTATGCCAAATATCCACTTCAGCAGGGCGTCATGTTTGGGCCATTTGTTGGAGAAACCTGCAGACAAATGCCAAATAATCTAAAATATTCCTGGGCTGTGAGTGAGAATATTTCAAAAGATACTTTAACCATGACTTATTATGATGCTGTGGTGATTTGTGAGTATAATATCTGAATTGTAGGTGTACAGTAATTTACAGCCACTTGTGATTTCCAGGTTAGAGATGATGCTGCTTTCATATACATTGATGCTGCTGATGAAAACAAGTCCAACTGGATGAGGTTTCATTCTTTAAATTGCTTTTCGTCACAGTAGTTGTCATTTATATGATTAAAACTGAATTTCTGTCATCCATCTATCGGTCAGCCCCTCTTTTTGTTTTATGTTCTAGGTATATCAGGTATACAAGCAGGGAGGAAGAACACAACATGTACATCTTCCAGTTTTACCGTCACATCTACTACAGGGTTTCCAAACCCATTCCAGAAGGAACAGAGCTTAGGGTCTGGATTGGGAAGGACTACGCCTCCATGCTGGGCCTGGGAATAGGTGAGTGCAGCATCAGGTGACGGTTGTGTGATCATCATGTCAAAAGATTTGTTGTTTTGTTGCTTCAAATTAAAATCCAATTGTTGCTGTGATTGAAGAGAATTTAATGATCAAGAAAATTAAGTATTGTCATTGACACATGACACAATGAAATTTGTCTTCTGCTTTTAAACCATCACCATAGTGAACAGGGAAGCAGTGTGTAAGCAGTGTCTTGATCCTCCATCCCTCCAGACCCTGGTCCCTAACCACTAAGCCTGCCATTACTCTTAGAGAGTAGACAAGCAGCCAACAAATAATAAAAAGTCGATTATGTCATGACCTGGCTTAATAGAGGTGACAAATACAAGAGGAGCACTGTTTGGAAGCAATACAACAATGTTAAATTGATAATTAAACCATAAACATTCAAAACTGTTACCCATAACCTAAAACACTCTGAGCAGCCAAACGATTGACAGGAAAGAAGACAAGAGGAGTCGTTTAGATCCAAGGCAGGGCTTCTCGCACCCCACAGCTAAACACAGGCCTAATAGCTGTATTTTGTCATTTGAGAAAATAAGCCAGAAATGCTTACGGTAACTAAAAAAAATTAAAGATAAATGTTTATACACCTTAGCCTAAACTAGCTTAAAGAAAACAGTGTTTTTACTGAATCTTACAAAAATAGTGGACTTAACTTACTTAACTTGTGTGCTTATTTTCTTTGGTTTAATGTAGGAGATGGTATGAAATGTGAAGTTGGAGACAAGGAGACAGCACTGCGCCTCCTGCAGGACATCCAGTTGGTCACGCTCCCAGAGTCCAGCAGCACTTCCCTGTGGTCAGATCACAGCCAATCACAGAGCCCCATGCCTCTGATCAGTGATGTGACATCAAACTCTGACATGGTTAATGAACAAGTTGGGATTTCCCTTCCCTCCACTCTCAGTGTCTCCACTCCTTTTGTCTCTGTCCCATCTCCTTTCGGTCAATTCATGGACAGGTACGACTTCATGCCTGGAACTGAAAAACTCTTGAGAAACCCCAGGGCCTCAGAACACAGCTCCTGGTACTTTTTTGGATTTGAGGCAGACCCCACCGGTCGACCTCTGGATCGCAGCACTGCAGTCTGTAAGCTGTGCATAGAACATGTGGGCTGTGCTGGAGGAGAAGCAGATCTCAAAAACCATCTGATGAACAAACACCACATCAGACTCCGTGAGATCACCAAGGACAGAGGTTCTGGAGGTAATGACTGCTGGTCGTCTGTATCTTGTACTTCTGTCTGTATTTTCAGCTGAATGAAGGTTTTAGTCACTTTTAAAACAAAAGACTCAAGAGGATGTCCTGTCATTCAAATGTTTTTTGTGCTTTACACAGGTGCACAGCAGGCCCAGCCCATGATGCTCAGCAGTGGCCTGGTCAGCACTACCCCCCAGGTTTTATCTGCACAAGTGATTGAAGCCGTGGCCAACTTTCTCATTTTGGACCTCCAGCCCCCAGCTGTTGTAGAGGGACAAGGTTTCAGACACTTGATACACACCCTTCTACCCTCCAACAAGGAGCTGCCATCACCAAGCCAGCTGGAGAACCTTCTGAAGGAACACCACACAAAAGGCAAGGCCTGCCTTGCTCATCAGCTGAGGATAATAAGTGGCACACAAGAGGTTGTGCCAGACTACACTGCGCCCATTGAGCCCAGGAGACGTGGGCAGCATCCCATTGATCGCAGAGAAATTCCCAATAATGTGACCTTAAGTGTGGACATTTGGTCGCACAACTGGCATGGAACCAGTGAGCCATACCTCACCCTGTGGGCACACTGCATAGACCTGAATTATAATTCCAAGAACGTGGCATTGACCTCTCAAAGACTGATGGGAAGGGCTGTGAAAGATTACACCATTCAAACAATAGTTGCTCAGGTGAAAGCTATGGCACAGGAATGGGGAATCTCCCAGTCCAATTTGGTCCTGATTGGAGGGGAAGGAAGAAAAAAGATGATGCAGGGACGTGTCAAAAGAGAGAGGGTCAGAAAAGCTTGCAGGAATGCATTGAAGAAGTGATGTCACATCCTGTTATCTCAAAGACTTTGGGCCAATTTCATGATATTCTTTCACCTGTTTTCTTGGCGCCTTCTCAGGACAGAAGCTCGTGTCATGTCCATAGTTTATTGCAAACTTTCACCAGACAGGAATGGGCTGAGCTGACGTCCTGGACTCACAGTCGGCCCACGTGGGATAAACTCTACCCACTGCTTAGCATTCTGATCAAACACAAAAGTCCCTTTTGTGAACTAATTAAAGAAGTCACAGGGGAGGGCTCAGGAAACGCTGAAGCACCTTCAGAGAACAGTTCTTCCAGTAACTGCCCCACAAACTCAACCTCCAACTGCTCTTCTGCAAATTCCACCATGCGTTCTGACTGGAAAGTTGTAGAGGATCTGTGTTTGGTCCTTAGACCTTTGGACGTTGCATGTCGAACCCTTGCCAAAGAGGGTTTCCCTAGGCTGTCCCTCGTCAAACCAATTCTAATTGGACTACTCTCTCGCCATCTGGTGTCTCGGCAGGGTGATTCATCCTCCTCCATTCTAAGAGAGGTGAAGAGGATGATGAGGAAGAGCTTGGCCAGCTGTTATGACAACCCTGTTGTTAATATGGTACTGTGTGTGGCCTGCTCCCTTGACCCACAGTTCCGTGGATTAGGGTTTATGAATGAGAAGGTGAGACTCAATATTGGAACATGAAAAAGAAGATTATAAAATAAAAGGTCTATTTTATGGGCATCAATTGGATCATCTTGTCTACTGTGGTCTGTTGTAGCTAACCTTAGCTCTGCTGGCTGTAACCAGGACTGTTGTAGCTAATGTAGCTGTACAGCCATTCACACATTTGACCACAATAAGTACCAAATGTTGCAAAAATGTGTTTGTAAGAGTTTTTGTCCTGTACAAGACCCTGTTTTAATATCTGTTTTCTTTCCAGGAGCAGAAAACAACTCTTGATTGGTTAAAAAAAGAGGCTGTCAGGCTCGTGAAGGAGGACAGACGGATTATACAAATTAAAAGAAGTCCTTCCACCGAGTCCCCAGAGTCAGAGGGTGACATCCTGCGAAGAAGCAAACGCCTCAAAAACAACCATCGAGTGATCTTCAAAGACATTTTAGATAAACATAAATATGAGAAAGAAGATGAAGACGAACATGTAAATGAAGATGAAGAGAGCGATGCATTCGAAACAGATGACAATGATTCAGTAGACTGCAGCTCACAGGCTGGACAATCTGGTATGGAGTTCCTACTTGGTGACTTGTTCTGCTCAGCTCCTCAGAGCAAACAGAGCTCTGTAGAAGAATCCGTAGACATGGAGATGTCTATTTTTCGGGCAGACAAAGGGGCATCACTGGGGGTGGAGCCTCTGCAGTGGTGGAGAACAACAGGTGGGCAGTTTCCACTCTTGTCCACAGTGGCGAGGGCATACTTGGCTGTTCCAGCTGTGGCGGGCAGTGCCGCAAAAGACTTTGCACAAGAGGGACCATGTACATTGTACAGGAAGAGGGCGAACATTCCTCCTGAGACTTTGGACGCAGTCCTTTTCCTGCACCACAACCACATGCCAGATACTGAGCCTGGGCTCACAACATTTAGGAGTGAAGACAAGAACAACCCATAAAAAGTCATAGTCAAAGACTCAAAAATGGAATGTCAGAATTTTGACATTTGTTAATCTTCCCTGATTTTATATGTTCTCATAAACCAAAGACTCATCTAAAAGTTAACAAGCTAAAATAAAGTATCTAGGTTGCTGTATAACTGTGAAAAGTTCTTGTCTATTAAGTTCAACATGTGCACTGGTGTATGTGACGTCTTTAACCAGAATCATGACTGGTTTTCATTGGACCTAATGGTGTATCACATCCAGTGCCTTACCTTGTTTGACTACTGTCAAATCCTAGATTGAAGATTGCAAAGCTTTTGGCCCTTAACCCCTGTATGACCCTATGGCGTGTGTATTTTGTTTAGTGGTAGAGTTGTTTTTAATAGAAACAAATTAAAGTTGTCATCTTCATTATTCAGGGTAATATACTGTTATGAAATAATAGAATTTAAATGATGTTTTTATTTTTGTATTTTCACCTTATGGTAAAGGCTAATTCCTCCCTAAAGTTCCATGTAGGGGCAAATCCAAAACAACAGGTTAGGGTTTTCAGTGGTGTATCTAGGGAAAAAAAGATCCACTGAGATGATCGCAACAACATCGTCAAATCAGAAGACACTTGATATACTGAATGAATCTTCAATCAAGTGGTGATTGGTAGGACTTGTTTAATGTATCCTAATATGCAGTAGTAAGGAATATACTGGAGGTATAAAGTTTGGGGTTTTTTTTAGTTTTTGAGTCAAAAGACAATGTTGAGTGTAAAGGATTAGGATTTTTTTTTTTATTGAATTTTAAAGAAGCATAAAGAATACAAACCAGTACAGGGTTAATAACACAGGTCATGTTGTAGAAAAATGATATATATATATAAAAAAAATCCAAACTATTCACACATAAGACGTCCACATATAATAAGGCCTATCTACAATCTAGTACAAGTAGTCACAACACAAGTCAGGGGGATTACCGAACCAGACCATTCACTCAGGACGTCCACCACTTTTTCCCAGAATGAAGCTATCAATGTACTGTCCCATATGTAGTGCAAGAAACAATTCTGTTTTACATTTCCAACACTTATTGTCATTGAGCAACTTCATTCTATGCAATCTTGAAGGGGTATGGTAATATCTGTGTTAAATCTTATAGACTTTGGTCTCTCTCGGACTAGTTATAATGTTAATATCCTCCTTGTGATCACCATGAATTATTCTGAGCCATTCAGTTTGTATTCTTTACCTATTTTACCAATGTAGTTAAAAATAATAATCCCGAAATCTCAGATACGTGTATCCACATACCCTAGTTTGACCACCACTACATTAGCATCACAATTTAAACCCGGGCAGAAAAGTGGTTGGGGAACAAAGAGAATGTATAAAGTATAAAAACACTACACAAACACTACACAGTAACATGATGTTGTAGAAATACACAAACTAAACTTCTTCGCCACATGGGGTCGCCCGTTCACCGCCCATCACTGCCTTCCGCTTAAAGCTAAAGGCAAAGCCAATTTTGTTAACGTGCCCATTTCGGTAAAGTTTCAACACATGTATTATTTGTCATAAATACACAAATGATTTATATTTTCGCCCTGTACGTAGTTATTACATTGTTTATATAAACTAAAGGAGAAGCAAGAAAATGCAAGCTAACTCTAATAAAACCCCAGACAATATTATTGGAAGATTTTAGGAAAGCTAAGATTAAAGTAATACATGTTTGAATCCACATTAATATTTATTATTTCACTCTAAAGTTAAAAAGTATAGTAGGCAGTTGTCAAGCTCACAAGTTTAAAATGACTAAAGGATAGTGAGGACAAAAAGTGGCTACATGTCATCAACACCAACAAAAATCATTAAAAAAAAGAAGCATAATATAGAATTAACCCATCCAAAAATATCTGCTCCATTCGATAAACATGTAAAATCCATTTGAAATTGTAAATTAAAAACAGCACTAAATGTTAGTGTTTAAACAGGTATAAGTATGGCTCAAACACTGAATGTCGACTTAAAATGATAAACTGTAATATTAAAATCCTAGCATTAAAAAACTGCAAGAAATATTTTTTTGTGGGTGTTAATTAACTCGGCTTCAGTCATTATTCTGGAGATGCAGTGTAAATTTAAGTGCAATGACAGTAAATAAATAAATGAATGTCCGTGTGGTTCGTTTCAAATAAAAAAATGTTTTTAATAAAACTCAACTTTTGTCCTCGGCTTGTCCTCAATCTCCCTCCTTTCCCCCCACCGGGGGGGGAGAGGCGGGGCAAAGGGACAA